CGCGCGGGCGGCGTGGGGGAGCTGCCGGTGGTGGTGATCTGCTGGAGCTGTGCAGCGTCTGCGGCGAGGCCGCAGAGATGTGCTCAGGTCTGGGTGAATTCCAGGTGTGGTGATATCTGAGAACCCCATTTCCCAGTAAAAACCTCTCTTTTAGAAAGGCAGCAGGCGTTTCAGAGTCTGACGTATGTTTGCTGCTCTCGTAGCTACATTTAGCCTTAGGAGCATGGGGTTTTTTCCTCCCTTTTCATAGCGTTTAAATGTGTGTTTCTTTTCCATGCTAGGACATGGTGCGGGGCAAAGAGCACAGCTGAAGAACCACTCGCAGCCCATCCCGCCTGCTCCGAGGACTTGATGTGGCCGGACGCGGGCTGATGCCCTCAGCACACCCAGCATGGATGGGGGGAAGAGCTACCAGCAGCAGCAGCAGCAGCAGCAGCCAGGCAGCGTGCTCTGCAGCGTCCCCGGCCTGCGCTCCCCGCTTGCCGGTCCGGCCATGGAGGTGAGGGTGCAGGGAGCGGCCGTTTGGGGGTGGCAGCAGGAGGGGGCCGAGCAGAGCAGCTCAGCCCATGGTATCCTGGGAGCCTGTGCGGCTACAGAAGCTGCTGACCAGAGACTCGAGGCTGCCATCCAGGGCTGTGCAGTATCAACTGTGTGGGAGGGCTGAGGGGATGCTGTCTGCTGCCTTCTGAGTGGGAGGAGGAGAGCAAGGCTGCGATTAAAACACTGAGAGCTGGTGGGTGCCACGCTCCTCAGGAGAGGACCAAAGGGTTTACACAGAACTGCAAACTTTGTTTCTGCCCAGCTCATCCCTCTGAGAAGGGCTAAACCTATTGCTGGGTCCAGCTGTGCCTTTTTTGAGAGCGGCAGAGAGTAGGGTGGTGTTTGTCCTGATACGGCTCCTAAAATGAGACTGGGTCCCTGAAGCATTTGTTCTCATCAGGGCACAGGGAGAGTGTCCTGAGCCCGGGCCCTGTTCTGCTCTGCAGGTGGCTGTGCCCCACCTCTGCTCTCTGACTCCGGGTTTCTCCCTGCAGAGTTCTGTGCTGGCGGCCGACTCGTGGAGCAGCTGCTACCCGCCCTCCTTCCCGGCTCCATCCTTCCCGAGTGAAAACCAGTGAGTGCTGTTTCCTTTCTATAAACCCCTCTGCTCTTGCACTCCCCATGATTCAACTGTTGGTTTTTTGTTTTTTTTTTTTTTACTGCTTTCCTTGTTTACTTTATTTCACAAACTGATGGGGAAATAATTGCATCACACACTGATCTTGTGGCATTTCATGAACTGCCACATCTTGGAAAAAGCAGCAAACAGCTTTTTTTTTTCCAACCTTTGATTTTTGGTAAACCTGGAGGCTGCTGTAAGGGAGAAACCCCTTGTTTTAGCCTGGATTTGTTACACTAATGGAGTTCTTAAAAACACTCCATTCACAGGATCTAGCCAAACAAATACTTCAGCTTTGCTTTAGCAGGAGTCTTTAGCCTTGCATGGACAGAGCAGGTGAGGAACGAGGTATTACTGATACCTGGTGGCAGACTTACGGGTGAAGTGAAGTTGAAATCTTTTGCTGTGTAGGTGGCTGGAAGCTGACTAAACACAGCCATCGTGGGTCTGCGTGGAAGATCACGCACAGCCCCGAGCTGCGCAGCCCGGGTTTCATCGGGCCGTGACTCTGCTCTGGCTGTGGCTGATCTTCACTGATAAACTCACCCCCAAGGTGTGAGGTGATGAGCATGGGCTCGTGTGAGAACTGCGACTGACTTCTGAGTAACGCTGCGTGGTGCAGCGCACGCTGGGGCTGTGATGTGCACTTGGGGTGTTTTGGGAGCCCCTGCATAGTGACACTGAACACAGCAGCTGTCTGCTTCCCGGATTCAGTGCAGAAACTTTTCTAGATTACACACCTAAAATTGAGGGATCTTTACATAACAATAAACATTGTTCTTCCTGTTTCTCTTTATGGTGAACCTGGATCGGCAGGTAGGGTGTGACAGGAGATGTTTGGGACAACATCAAGTGACTTTGTGCCCCCACCCAGTGACTTGGGTTAAGATTCTGCTGGCACTGGGAGATGCTGGTGGTTGGGAAGGTTTGGTGGCTGATCCAGGGCTGCTTTGGTCTCTGCGGCTGCAGGGAGTGGCACAGACACACAGGATGTGTTTTTATTCAGGTCAGAGGTGGGAGGAAGGAAAAAGAAAAGGGACAGAGCTTGGTACCTGAGCTAGTAACTGTGTGTCAGGTGCTCGAGGACTTATTTAACCTCATTCCTAGAGGGATTTCAGCACCTTCACGGAAAGCAGAGCTCTCCACCCTCTGGAGTGTCCGAGCTCCAGCCCAGCTGTCAGCAGTGAGAGTCACCCCTGTGCTCAGAGGGGTGGGATGGGCTGTGTCTCTGTACTGGTTCTGCTTCTCCTGGGCCTGGTCCACCTCGGTGTGGGTGCAATGGCGCAGTCCTTAGCGTGAGATTCCCAAGCGGCTGTCCCTGGATGGAGCCCCATGGTGTTGGATGGAGCCCTGCTGTGCTGGTTCCTCCCCAGAGTGAGAATTTAGAGGAGCTGTCATGGGTTCAGTATCTGGGCTCTTAGCTTGCCTGGCTCTGCTTGGAAGAGGGGCACTTTTTGAGCAGTATTCCTGTAAATGATGCCTGGTGCATCCTCAGGAGACCTGTAACATAATTTCTGTTCTGCTGTATTGAACCACAAGATGAGGTTGTGTTTATCTGTTCTGCTGGCTTTTTCTTTGACCGTTTATTCCGGTTTTGCCCCTCGCTTTCTTCCCGTTCAGTGCTGCTCTGCTGCCCGTGTCAGCTCTGCTGGAGACGTCAGAGCCCCAGTCCTGCAAAGACTTGCCTGTGCGTAGCACAAACGTGCATTTGTTGACTTTGCTATAGTTACCTTTGGAAATGGGGCTCATTGTAGTGATTATTTGCTAGAGAATGACTGAGCCAGGGCTGCACCTTCAGCTTCCTGCTTTTCATATCCTGGCAATTGCAAAAGTTACCTTCCAGGTGACATTTTCCATATCTGTGCTTTACAAAAAAACTCTGTCCTTTTCTACTTGAAAACTGCAGCTGGATCTTTTTTAAGTGGATTTAGAGCGAGGGTGTTAAAGGTAGGAATTCTGAAGGGGACGGAAGCATGAAAAAAATGGGATTTTAAAGGAGGTTGTAATTGGAGCCCACGCTGTAAAACAGAAAAATGCAGATGGCATCAGAGTAAGTCCAGGTTTCTCTTCAAATCCTTGCAGCAGAAATCTCATTTGCAAGCGGCTGTGTTTGGACATGGCTTATTCTCATAGCAACAGCTCTATCCTGAAGCAGGTTTTTCCTGTTTCTTTTCAGTAGTTAACTTTCACGCTGGAGAATTTCTTTAACAGATCCCAAAGCTTGCCCTTACGTTTCAGATTTCCTTACCCTGAAAAATGCACGCAGAGCATCAGATCTTGCGGCGTGCCTGAGCTCTTCTTTCCGCAGGGAAGCGCTGGAGCTCCCTGCCTTTCCAGGGCAGTTTTCCCTGCAGAGCCGGGCTTCCCTCGCGCCCTGGGCTCCACACACTCCCAGCTGCGAGGACGTTGGGTCAGCCCCGTTGTGCTGTTGGAGGTGGTGTCACACATTGCAGGAACGCATTTCTCAAAACCAGGAGCAAAGCCTTCTCCCCAGTGTCTAAAACTTTCTTGCCTTTGCCAGCTCTGTGTGGAGTATTGCTTACTGTAACAGTAAAGCAGGCTTTGGAAACATCAATTGGTTTAATGATGGGGAGGAAGAGTGCCAGGCTGAGGCCGAGGGCTGTAACATCCAAATATAAAGCCTGGCCAAAATATGCATAGGGAGCCTCCAGTGAAGCTGCAGGGTGGCCCCAGGAGGGCTTCAGATGCGTTGGCTGCAGGAATGAGCTGCTGGTGTGAAGCGTGTGAGGCAGACACAGCATCGCAGTGCTCTAAACATGTGGTGCTGTAGCAAGCGTCAGCTGTCACAGCATGCAGACCCATCTCCTGGGGATGTGGCTGCATCGCTCATCTCCAAGGTGAGCCTGGAAAAGGCTTTCCACAGCGTGGCCCTCTAGGTCTTGAGCGGCGGCAAAATTGAAGGAAATGGTCAAATTCTTTTAAAAACCAACAAAACCCCCAAACAACAAAAAAACCCAATAAATAAATCAAAACCAAGCCAGTGCAACCCAACAAAAAATGGAATACCTAACACCCTCCTGTAGGAGTACATGAACAGCCCTGCCCGGGACGTGCAGGGCTGACAGCAGAGCACTGGGGTGAGTCAGATGTCAGCCCAGGTCGCTCTTGCACCAAACCATTCCAATGCTGCTGTGTTTGGAGTGGGTGGCAGCAAAAAAGCAGCCTTGCTCTTTAAATCGGTTGCCTGAACTTGATATAATGCAAAGCTGCTCCTCACCCAGCTCATCGTGTGCCGGGGCTCAGGAATTTCTCTGGGCTTTATCCCTCAGAGGGCAGGAGCCACCTCTGCAGGGATGTTGGTGCTTGTTGGGTCCTGCATGTTGCACACCTCTGTGTACTTCCCTTCATGTTTTCCTGTGGGAAAATGTCCCTCTAGTTAGATTCCTAAATACTCTTTTTCATAAGAGCTGAATTTCGGGGCTTTATTTTGGCTTTATTGCCTTGTTTTGGGAGCAGACACTTATTTTCCTTCACCAGTCCCTGCAGAAGGACACGTACTGGGTCAGCACACATTGCCTCCTCCTCACACAACAAGATGCTGAGCTCAAGCCAGATTCCCTCTGTCTCTCTTGTGAAACAGCTCTACCAGAAGCCGGAGCCCAGTGTCCCTCCCCTCATGTCCGTGGGGTTTTGGTGGGGCCTAAAGCAAAGGTGTGGTGGTGATGCTGGGTCGCGATGGAGCAGTTCCTCTTCTGCGAGGAAGGGCCAGCACAGCCTCTTCTGTCTGAAGAGCACAGCGGTTCTCCGGGCTAAAGCCCACCTCGGTGCAGAGTAATTTCTGTAAGAACTGAGTGACTCGGTGTGTTCAGTCATTGGGGTTAAAAAGGTCTGGGTTTGTTCATCAGGAGGATCAGCACTTGGTTTTCTGAATGCAGGTGGTGGTTTCTGGTGCCCCGGACACCCAGCCCCTTCCTTAGTGCTGCAGCTCCAAGTCAAATCTGAGGATTTGAGATAACCGATATTTGAGATATGAGGATATATGAGAGCAATTGGGCAGTCTTTGTAAATCCAGTGGGATAAAACTCAGTATAAATCTCCATTCTAACCTGGTTTTTAGTTACCTGGTGAACGCGCTTGCCCTCAGAAGGAAGCTCTTGGCCCAGAGCAGCTCCCACAGGGGCTCACCAGTGACTGGGTCCTGGAGAGAGAGGGTCTGTACAGGGCAGTCCTGCTGCCAGGCTGTTCCCACATCTGTGCTTTGGCGACACAGGCAGGTCTGCGGACTGCAGTCTTCCAGTTAACGCTCTGTTTCACAGTTTAATTCAAGCTAACGTGACAGTGCAGGCTCTTCACGTGATGGTGGATATCTTGATGTTCTTATTGAAAGGTAAGGCGCAGCACCAGAGGTACTGAAAGGACTTTGCCAGGCGCTGGACACTTGGTGGCTTTCCTGAGAGGACCTCAAAGCAGCGCTCTGCGTTGCTGCTGGCTCTCGTTTCAGACTGGGAGCAGAAAGCACATCTCACATTCACAGATACGAAACCCAAGGCAGAGGGAATGCAGAATAACACAGAGCAGGGCATGCTGCAGGAGCTCGGGGCTGTGCTGGACTCCTTCCCGTTCCCTCAGCTGACTCCTGTGGGCCCATGAGGCGCTGGGGAAATGGGAGGCGGTGTTTGCTTTTCTGGTAAAAACAGATTTCCCCTTCCTTGGTTTGTTCATTGAGGCTGGCCAAGCTCTGTCCTTGTGTGAGGGAGATGGTGAGACCACAGCGGGCCCAACTGGAAAACAGTTCAAGGTGTAAATACGTTAATTCCCAGAATTTATGCTTGGATTTTAGTTCTCCTGAGTAGATCAAGAGGAGTGAAGAGTCAGTGCTGGGTGGTCAGAGCTGTTGTGTGGGTGTGCTGAACCCACCTCTGTTCACAGGGGGCTGGGTCGCTGTTCTGGTGCAGTACTGAAAAGAGGGGGAGGGAGCGGCTCCTTTCTGAGGGTGATGATAAAAGAGCAGGAAGACATAGTTAGCAGAGCAAGATAACTGCGTTTGCACATAAATACATATGTAAATATTAAGCATGGTGTATTAATGAGCTGCCAGCCACACATGGCGTTTTAATTGCTTCATAATACCTTGGCAGTGCAGTCATTCCCCTCCGCTCCTGGGTAGGTTTCTGTGTAGATGTTGTCTCCCTCCCCGCAGTGCCTTGTTACGGTTGATTGCTGTGGGTTCTGCAGCCCCGGTGTTACAGGGAGCGCTCGACTCGCCACGGGAGGAAAGCAGTCCCGTGGGGTGAAGCGCTGCGGTGGCTCCAGCACGCAGACGCGTGGGGAGGAGATTTTTCCCCTTACGGGAAGGATTGCACAGCACATTCCTTGTCCTGCAGCAGAGGGAAAGGCTTGTGTGTGCCGTGGCAAACCGAGTAGCCGCTGGTGTGCCCCACAGCAGAGGCCTCTCCCAGGATGGGATGGAGGAAGGGAACTGCTGCTCTTTTCTTGCCGCCTCTGCTCGACGGGGCCGGCGCTGGGGCAGGGAGCGGAGGAAGCGCTGGGAGGTGCCCACCTGGGAGGGACCTTGGCTTTCCTCACGTGTTGGCCCAGCAGAGATCCTCCCTTGTAGCTGTTAGGTCCATACCCCATCTCTGTGCTGGCAGCTCTGTCTAGGGCTGCATGGCCATAGCCCTTCCACTTCTACCTGTCTTTAAGCTCCATGAGCAGTAACTCCCCATCACAGGTGTGCAAAGTGGGTGTTGCTCTCCTGCTCGGTGCCGGTTTCCGGGGCTGTCTCACTCATCTGGCCCGATCTAGTGCTCAAGTGTGGTATTGCTGTGAAAGTTGGGGCTTGCCCATGTGTAGGAGATTGTGGGGTTCCATCACAGCGGCAAACGCTTACGCTGGGGCATCTCGCAGGCTTCATTTTGCTGTGTTGTCAGCACTGGAATATTATTTAGTCCTGCAAACCATTTTTATCCATTTAATCCTTCCCAGATTACACAAATTGCAGAGAATTGAGTCCTTAATCTTAATATGGCTTTCCAGAGTCTTACACCACCGAGTCTGGGCAGTAGGATGTAACTTGGGGATGTTTTATTTTGCCTAGAGATCTCTTCTGCATAAACACAGCTTTTCCTAATATCAGTCTCCTGTGTGTGTCATCCCGTAGTTGCAGCTTCACCGCTGATGATGGAGTCTGAAGCAACCTGAGAAATACTCAGGACTGACAGGAAATAACTGCTTTTCCCATTTCCTTACAGGCAATATTTTAATTCCCCTCACGATTTTTATATGAATTCCATCAGCAGACCACATTTCTTGGATACAAACTATGCATCTGTGGACCTCACTGACTTCTTACAAAAAAACGGTGATTTTCCTCAGGTAAGTACATGGCTACTGATGGCTTTGGGAGAGAATGGTGCTTTGTGGTGATGGGGTTTATTTTTCCATATTGCCTCATTGAGGGGAAAGGAAGAGAACAGCAGTATCTTCAATTTGTCTGGCACTTGATAGGAATTGTGTGCAATTGGGATAAATGCTCTGACAGCAGCAATTCCGGAGCTGTCATCGGCTGGGCAGGAGCTGCTCTGTGGTGAAATTGCCCATCTTTAAAGTGGTGTTTGACACAAACACAGAGTGCACAGGAGGGTCCGTCCGCAGGAGGGTGTAGGTGAGTGTGAATCGAACACAGTCAGTCAGTTCAGTCTGCTGTCTCCTGAAACTCTTCACTCGTGTGTGGTGCGGGTGCTTTCTCACTGATGACAAGCGGTGGATTCCCAAATAGTGAATATTTGGGGATTACATCAGCTCGGTGTGTCGCAGACTGAGACCAGAGCCAGTTCCTTTCTCGCAGAGCTGGGGTGTGGGAGCGAACCTTCACCCTGGTTCACTTGGCATCTGCAGGGACCAAGAGGTGCCGTCACCTCGGGGATCTCTGAGCAGGAGGGAGCTCCTTCCATGGCATCTGGAAATGTTGCCCTGGCTTTTGGCAACGTCTCAGGGTAAGATTGGTCAGTGAAAGCTGGAAAGCAGCTGGTATGACAGAGCTGACTTGGAATGAAGGGACTGGCTATATCCTTTCTAGGAGTTAATACAGATATTATCAGTGTCTGGCTGCATATGTGCTTTGCATTAGGAGTTCCCCAGCATCTGAAGATACACGGTGAGTAAAACTGCACAGCGTATCCCTGCTTTGAGCTACCACCATGACAGCCCCAGTAAGGCTCTGCTCTGGTTTCTCTGGGATGCATGCGGGTGCCAGCCGCAGTGCAGTGTCCTGACAAAGGCACTGCCGTGTTTGAGGGGTGCAGGCTGAGCTGCAGAGCACCCCTTTACTTCCAGCCCCTGACCTGTGTCCTGAACCACTCCTTGAGCGTGACTCTGCCATCAGAAGAGCACAAGAAGGACCTGGGCTGTGGCAGTGCTCTGCAGTGGGTACACACTTCAAGTTACATGCAGAACAGCTTTTTTGGTTAGACAATGCTACAGGGAGCTTATATTAGAAATTAGTGCTTGAGATTTCTTTAATTGTACGCTTACAGTCTTCTAATGAGACCTGATGAACAGATTGGCCAGGGGCCCAGCTGTTGCTGACGGATTGGACCCTCAAGCCTCAGGGCTGCTTGGAGGCTCTCAAAGGAAACCCTTAATGTCTGCAAAAGTCACAAGCTCTCTTCAGAACCTTCATCTATGGCATCTGTAGGTCAAACTGGATTCACTAAAAGCATTATTATTTTCTGGTCACGAAGCAGCGCACCCTCAGAGCCAAACTTACTCCGAGCATGGGAACTGCTGGCTCTGAACATTGCAGTTGTCTGCTCGGGTCTGTGACTTGGTGCGAGATAGGCACTGGGCACTGCCTGGGTGTTGTGTGAGGTGGAGCCGAGGTTGTTTTCTTCTGTGTTCAGGTGGAGATGGATCTTTCTGGATGTTTCACTGTTAATTCTGAGCGTGCCTTACAACATAGCCCTGTTGAGTCGCTGAGCACGGCGCAAGGGAGACGTGAGGATAAAGCAGAGCAGTGCATGCTGCATCGTGCTGTGACACTGAGAAACGCCTCAGCAGGCCCCTTCAGCTGCCCCGCGCTACTGAATGGATTTTCACTAACTCTGACTCTGACGAGATATATAAACTTTTTCCTTTGTAATCTGTCTCTTCTTCCTGCGTGAGTCATTAATTGATGCATCAGCAAATTGATGCATTTCTCCTCTTCTTGACAAGGATGTGTTAATTCCCCTCAGTTATGCCTTTATTTTCCTGATATGGCTAAAGAGAGGTTCTGAACCTCCTTGGGCCTTTGGTTTCTGCAGGTTTGGGTTTACATATCCTGGGATTTCAGCCTTTTAAGGTGAGCCCAAATTCAGCTCCCTGAGCAGAGCTGCTGACTCTCCTGTCACAGCAGGTTTGGTCCATCACCGGTAGCTGTTGACCAGAGCCTTCTCACTGGATAAAAGCAGAGAAGTAAATGAATTTGTAACTGCATTGATCTTTGCCTTCTGCAGAATTAATTGCGGAAGAAACGAGACAGAAATGTGATCTCATCAACTGGTGGAAGCCTTTTGACGGATGGCGATGGGAAGAGGGGTCCTCTCTGTAGGTCTCAGCTTGCTGGTCTGGTCTAGTTTGGGTTTAATGGGAAAAGGGCTCATTATTTCTTTAACTTACCTGTTTTCTGGTATCTAAGTGATCAATCACTTCCCCTGCTGCATCATGGAACAGATCTCGGCCAAATCGGACGAGCAAATTTTGGGATTCTTTGTGAAAAGGAGACGCTGCTCCAAGACAAACCAGGCATAAATGACCTCAATGATTTCCAGAGCAAGAAATAATTCGTGTGCCCCTCTCATCCTTTTGGAGAAGAAGTGATGGACGGGAGCAGGGTGATTGTAGGCAGTTACAATCCAGTTACTGCATCTATTGCGGTGTGCTCGCATGTGTCCTGCCTCAAGTGCAGAAGCACTCAGGTGTCACAGTGTCCTTCTCTGAATCTAGCACAGCCCAGCCAGGTCTCTCCTCGGGTGTAATAGCAGGTAGTACCATGTGTGTTTCCATAGGGAGCAGCCTGTTTTTAGGGTGCGTTTCTGTCCTGGTGGGTGGCTGTGTGTGAGCCTTTGCACTGAGCGTTGCTGCCTGGGGCTTTCTGGAGATTCCCACAGGCAACCCAAGGCAGTGATGTGTCACCCTCTGAAACTGAGAAACACTGAATAAGAGCTTTGTTAGAGCTTTGTTTTCCAACCCGAAACCGATCCGATCGAGTTCATACCTGGGGTTTATCCATTGGTACAACCTAGGGCTTTCTGAACTCATTGCTCACCCAGAGAAAAGCTGGTGATTTCTCACAGGAGCCAGAGTTAGAGCCTGGATCTGGTAGAGGAGCACACACTTGACTGGAGGCAGTGGCATCAGTCTGGAGTCATCTGGGAGTGTCCTGGATCTTTTCCACCCCTTGCCTCAGCAATATTCTATAAAATCCCACTTCACTGATTTCTTGCTGTCCCTGTTGCCAAGCTGTTAAATATTAACACTCTGCCCGGGAAGCTGAAGCACACCATTGGGAAGCCGTGGGAGCAGCTCGGGAGGTTACGTCTCCCTGGTGACTCTATAGGAAAGTACCTGTCTTTTCCACACTTGTCTGGTGTGGTAAGAGTGGCGGACCCTGTTAAACTTTGTGCCTTCAGGGCCATGCCAAGCAGAGGAGTGACACCAAAGAGAGAACATGAGGAGTTTGCTGCATGCTGTGGTGAGAGATCCTTGATTAAATCAGTGGTCACTGGGCAGACCAGGTAGAATGGGTGCTTCTGTGAAAGCTTGTGCTGCCTTCATAGCCCAGTACAGGCAGTTGTCTGCTCAGATCCCAAAATCCGGTCTGTGGCCGCACAGGAGAGCCTGCTGCCCCCTGGGTCACAGCCCTGACAGCGCTGAGCCTCTGCGTGCGACTTAGGGCACAGCGGGGAGATGGAGGTGTCAGAGCTTTGCATCCCTGACCCCAGCCTCCAGCGCAGCCTGAAGGCAGTTGGGCTCCTCCGAGAGGTTTCCAGGAATACTGAAAAAGGGATTTAAAGAGCAGCTGAGTAAGACTCTGAGGTATTTGTATGCTAAACACTTTGGTGGTGACTGGGGGATTGTTCTGTGCCCTGGGTTGGGGCACACCTCAGGGACTGTTTCATTTTGAGCTCCTTGCTGGACCTTCGCAGTGCGAAGCCTTTGCTGGGCTGAGGATGCCGTGGGTGGGAGTTGCCACATTTCTTCGTTGCTCTGGGAATCTCTTTTTTTTAGCTGAATCATGGAGCGAGGAGCAGTCTGTGTGTGCCCTGCAGCAGCCTCACCGAACACCATCTGCACGTTGAAAGAGGTGCTTCGTGTGCAAGGCCTGAATTGCCCAACGTGAACTTGAACTTGCTTCCTCCGCAGTATTTTTGTGTTCTGGCTTGCTTTTGGGTGATTCATCCTTGCCGGTCCATTGGCATTCTTTATATAAACAAGTGGCTTAAACCAAGGTTTAGAAAATGGTTATGTGAGGCCATACTGGGGTCTGATAGCATTTCTTGATCTTGGGAACTGGTGTCTCAAGCCAGAGTCTGTCCCAGCCGCTGTGGTGTTGTCTCCATATGTAAAACTTCCACTGAGTGCACACACGTCCTCAGCAATTGCAGCCCTGAAGGAGAGCGGGTTTTGGTTTCCATCACATCCCTCTCCTGCTCTTTTCTCCTCCAGTCCCAGGTGCTGGTGAGGGGATCCAGTGCTTGTGTGCAGGAATTGGGCTGCAAAGGTGTTTCTGTCCTGTCAGTGCAATCGTGTGTTGCTGGTGGTCAGAGCTGTTAATTGCCACAACAAAACTCTAAATCCAGCAGGTCTGAAGCTGTGCTTTGGCATCCGCTGTCCCTGGGCAGGTGAGTGCTGAGCCGTGCTGCGTCCCCGGAGCCTCGCCATGAGAGCAGTGCAGCCTGCTGTGGGAAAGCAGACCTGCCATGAGATACCTGGGGCTCTCAGCCACCTGGATGTTTCTTTAAACTGTACTGTACTGTCCTGCCCTGTTTAGAACCACTCAAAGCACAGACTCTGCCCATTTCCTCCTCCTCTTGTTGTCTGAAATGATGTTGCTGCTTTCTGATTGTGTTCTCTTCATTGGACTTCTCCTCGGGGTTGGCTACAACAGGGCTTTTCTGGGTGCACAGGAGCCTCTTCTGGCTCCATTTGCCATGAGTTGCACTAGGAAGTAAAAGAGATCTTTTTGCAGCTCCTCTGTGTGTGTGTGTGTCTGTGTGGTGTGCGGGGGCTCTCGACCACACATGTTAATCATAAACCAGCCCCTCGCAATCTCCTATTCATCTTTCTTGCTTAAAAGGGGAGAGGAAAATTAACCGACTCTTTAAAAAAGTATT